GCCACCATGCCTTGGGCTGCGGAGACCGGGAGCAGTCCCTAGGGCCACCGCTGGGCTGGGTGGCTGGGGCTGGATGCCAGCACCCGCTGGATGGGGGCTGGAGGGCGAGAAAACATGGTCCTGCCCTGGCCAATGTGGTCCCAGATGGCTTTTTCTTTCTTAGGTTTTAGATTATTTTTTTCTTACATTAGGTTTGTAAAGATGCCTTGACCCTGGTTCTGGATCCTGCTAAGCTTTTAGCTTCAGTGTCAGCCATGACAAGTTTTGCAGATTAATTTGTATTTTTGCTGCCTTTCGGATGCACATGCTGTCTCCAGCTCCTGGGACTCTGACTAAAAGCAAGCCCCCTCTGCTCTGCCCTGCCCATGCGCCGCTTTTGCACCTGCCTAGCTCAGCTTTTTTCATGCATCTTCTCTTTTCCTCTAAAACAGCCCCAGCCTGATGTGTTTCAAGAGGAGCAGGCAGCAAGGGAGATGTGGTGCTGGCATGTGACTTCACACCAACACAGCACACAAAAGCATCACGGTATTTTCAGCCAAGGATGCACAAAGTCACACTCGGCTGCCCTGATGTTTAACCTCCTTTTAGGACTGTCCCTGTGCAGCAAAAAAAAAAAAAAAAGTGCTTTTTCATAGAATCATAGAATAGTTTGGGTTGGAAGGGACCTCTAAAGGTCATCTAGTCCAACCCCCCTGCTGTGGGCAGGGACATCTTCAACTAGATAACTTTTTTTAAAATTAAAAAGTATTTTTAATTAATTAATTAATTATTTTAAATTAATTTTAATTTTAAACATTATTTTCTTTTCTTTTTTTTAATTAAAATAATCTGTCCCTGAGTCCTTGTTTCTGAAATAATTCCAGCCAGTACTGAACCCACTCCCATCTGGGCAGCTCAAGTCAGCTCCTGCAATGGAAATCCCCTTTCCTTTTTCACTACTTCATTTTGTCTGCTCCGAAGTCACCTGCCTTTGGTAGATTCCCCCAAAATCCCCCAAATCTCAGCCCCCTCCGGATCACTGCCACTGCGCAATTACAACTCTCCCTGGACGTGCTGGCTGGTCGCGGCACTGCCAGGCTGGAGAGGACCTGGGTCACAGCCAGCACTGCCGAGGCCAGCCCGCTTGCCAAGGAGGAAGATGGCGAGCGGAGGGCTGGGAGGGATTTCTTGCTGATGATATTGTTACATTCTTTCCGAATCCTGGGAGTAAACAGATGCTCCAAATTTAGAAAGAACAGGACTGGAAAATTTAAACATTCCTTGAAGAATTGGTACAAAAGGGGGGGGGGGGGGGATGATCTCACGCGCGCTCCCGAGCCAGATGAAAAGCTCATGACTCAAGTTCAGAAAGCAAGCGAGGGGCCTGTTTCAGGTCGGAGCACAGTATCACAACGATAAAGCTCCCCCGGCACATGAAACTGCAATGAAAAGAGCCTCTGCTGTGCAAGGGGGTCCCAGCCCCAGCAGTCCGAGCTGCAGGGACCACCGCTGCTGGCCACACACTGCCACCCCAGTTTCGCCTCCGGCTGGCATACGGCTTCAGGCGCAGGAGACAGGAGCCTGGTGCTCAGCGAGCGCCAGGCGTAGGGACAGGATGGGTGCCTGAGCATCATCTGGACAAACATCCCAAGCCCTCGGCTATCGCTTTTAGCCGCTGAATGGGAGAAAAGGAAGATCTCCCCACCCTCCGCTGCAGCTGGACAAACGGAGAGGAGCTCGTGAAGCTCAGCACCCAGGAGCTCAGCACTACACTACAGCTCAGGCCAGGCTCCAATACAAGAGCTGGCACATGGGAGCCATCAGGGAGCGATGGAGCCAGACCACTGCTGCTGCTTCATAAACAGATAATGGCTGTTAATAAAAACCAAGCGGGAGTTTGCAAAGGGGAAGAAGAAGGGGGGAAAAAAGCAAAGTGAAAAAAAAAGGCAAAAAAAAAGCAAAAAAGCCAAAAAAAAAGGCAAAAAAGCAAGAGTTTGTGCTGAAGTAAACAAAGGTTAAAAGGCTCCTGCAGGAATAGCAGAGCTGGGCCGGGAGGGAGGGAGGGAGGCGTTGCTGAAGTAAACAAAGGTTAAAGAACAGTCAGGCTCCTGCAGGAATAGCAGAGCTGGGCCGGGAGGGAGGGGGCATTACGTAATGCAGGAAAAATGTTGGCTCCATTCAGTTTTCCACCACTTCATGTGATGTCAGGAAAACCATATAAATCAACAGGCTTTCTGCTCCCATGGATGGAGGGCAGCAAGCAGCACTATTTATACTTACACAATTAAAAAAAAAAAAAGGGAAAAAAGAAGAGAAGCCCATGATTTCCAAGACTGGGAATAATTGACTCAGATTCCGCCTTCCCAGCCTGCTGGAATCACTGCTTCTGGGCTGTTAACCCTTGAGCGGTCCCCACCGCCGCTCTTGCCACCCCCAGCTCCCCTGTCCTCACCCATCAGCCTCCACCAGCTACTTCAAGGGTCTGAAGGACGATGGCTTGGAGGTGAGCAAGAATGGCCAAGCACAGCATTTGCATGAGATGGGGACACTGAGGCATGGATATGTGTCACCTCTGGAGAAACATCTGCTGCGGCTGAGGACAGCTGGGGAGCATGGAGGTGCTCGGGAGGTTCTGGGGCTGCATAGGGCTGGCACATGGCTTTGGGGACCCTCAGGACGGGGTGCTGGCATCCACTTAGGGACAGGCTGAGATTTCAGGGCAGGACCCTGAGATTTTGAAAGCCCTTGCCAGCCCAACTCTCCGCTGGGGTCACAAGCCACCTCCAGGGAGGACCCATGCACCTCTTCTGGGACACGGAATGGGTTGGGGCAGGATGAGGTGCCTGAGCCCGGAGCGGACAGACCGAGGGGTTAAAACCCACCAGGGCGAGGGGTCAGAATCAGGCCCAGCCTGCACATCCCCCCTCAGACCTCCCAAGAGCTGCCTCTAAAACAACCCGGCTGCTGCCCACACCGCAGGCAGGAGGAAGCTGCATGTGTCGGCAAATGTGCCCAGCCTCCCTCAGACGCTGTCCGCAGCCGCTTCCAATCACGATTTCCATGTAAAATGCTGCCACCATGACCCAATGTTCTAAATTTCGGTTCCCGTTTTTTCCACCTGCTGGCGGCCCGCATTCCCCATCAGGCTGCGGCCCTGCAGCACTTTTAATTAGGGAGGTTTAAGCTTTGCTTGGCACCTAGCACAGCCACACCCCTGCTTGGGGGTCTGGGCTCCTGCAGCCCAGGGAGATGGAAATTGCTGCCCTGAAGATGGAGGATGCATGTGCCCAAGCGGGGTGCCGGTTTGCTCATGGGGGGGCAGTGGTGGCGATGGTCATGGCTGGGGGGGTGGCACGCCACCAGTGCTCACCCACCATGGGGCATGCCATGCATGCGGCTGGGGTGCACCAGTACTATGGGGGTCCCCCAAGCCTCCCCTCGCTTTCCCAGGGAGGAGAAGGCTCCAGGGCTTTCAGGGCCACCTCACCCAGCCCTGTCCCTGCTCCAGGAGGACTTGAGGCAGGGGGTTTGCAGCCAGTGCATAGCGCTGCCCCTCGCCTGGTCCTGGGAAAGTGGCAACGGGTTGAGGGGTGCCAGGGTCACGCTATGAAGGCTGTTTCCTGACCCATCCCAGTGACTAAGCAGGTTCCTTCCCAGATGCAACTGAATCTGCCTTCTCCTTCTCCTGCACCGTGTGCCAAGCCGTGCCCTTGTTTATGCCGTGACGACCTTGGAGCTAACGGCGTGGCCGCTGGGGCAGGCCGGGGACTGCCATAGCAAGCTCGCGGCGGCATCCTCCAGCACTGGCCTCGGCAGAGCTCCTGCAACCTGGGCCACGCTAATTAGCTTTAATGTGATTTCATGTAATCCCTGCTTGCTTTTGAAACCCTCAAACTGGGGGGTTTATTCCTGCTATTTCTCTGCTCTGTTCTCCCCATCCCAACACAGCTGCTCTGATTCAACAGTACCTTACCCATGCCATGCATGAGCAAGGCTCCCTGAATGCCACTTGCTTGTGCCACCTTCCCCATCACAGCTACTCCTTCCCAGGGTTTGTCATGCTGCCAAGTTTGTGGGGATAGCCACTCCCTCCATCCCTGCGATGCCCCGGGGACACAGAGGTCGGTACCCTCTGCCTCAGCCCTAAAGCAGTACCTAATCGCTGCAGGAGGAGGACAGGCTTGGGGAACAGAGATGATCCCCATCTCTGTGCTTTTGGCACTATCTAGGAGCCTGGCTAAGCTCAGCGGGATCGAGGGGCTGAGTGGGGCAGTGCCTGCTCACCCCTCCGCAGGAAGAAAGCTTGGAGGTGGGCAGCCAGCCAGGCAGACGCCCAGCCCCCCCCAGCTATGGGGAATTAAAGGCAGCTTTAACTCTCCCTTCGGCAGCTCGCTGCCTCTTTCTCCTTCTCTCTGCTGGGTTGGAGCATTTCATTCATCGGTCGCCTGCCTCCCATTTTGCTCTGCAGAAGGGCTGCAATTAGGGCAGCACGTGCCTCCTCCTGCCTGCGCACTCGCGCCTGGAGAGCATCATCTCCAGCAGACCTTGACTTACCCAGGGATGACCCTCTGCCCTTGCCCTCCTTCTCCTTCTTCTTCCCAGCACATCCATGGGTGTCCTCTCCTGCCCTCCCTTTAACAGCAGCGAGAGGGAGCAGAGTGCCTGAACCAGGTCCAGCCCTTGGCACATTCACTGGGGACGAAGCAGCACCAGGATGGGGGAATGAAGGGCAGCTTTTGGGTGGCCGGATCCGTGACACCATGACCCCTCCATACCCTCCCCTCTCATTCACCCTGGCTGGTAGGTGCAGTGGCGGGGAGCTGGACAGTGCGAGGAATGAATGCGCTGGGGGACCCAGCAATGCTAGTGTGGGTTGAGCCTCCTCAGTCCGCATGCGGGGCTGCCCTCCCATGCCACAGCCACTGGTGGCTGGGAAAGCGGGTGCAGATGGACACGTGTGGCCACAGCCCTGTAACTCCAAACTAAAGGCACGAGCACCAAGGGAAGCAGTAACCTCCTACCTGTGAGGATGGAGACACTGTGGAAACAGCTGTCCAGTTTGCCCAGGAGGATGGAGAGGAAGCTGTCGGCAGCCAAGCCGGTCACGTCCCGCGTGCTCTGGTCGTAGACCACCACGTCCTGGTGCTCCTCCGCCTCCACCTGCAGGGGAATGGCAAAAACTGGCCATCAGAGAAATAGGCTGAGCGCTGAGGATGCTGTTGCCCACACCACCATGGGAAGCAAAGCTGAATTTAGCAGTCACACAAGCAGGAGACCCAACTCCATGCTGTCCCCACGAGTTGGCTTCGCTCACCAAATGAAGGGTCCAGCCAGGCTGGGACTCTGCTCCACGGCTACAAGCAAGTATGTCGGCACAGACGCCCGTCAGAGCAGCCCCACCAACTGCGAGCGCTTTTGAGAATCCTACCCAAAATAGGGTCACTCTTCCCCATCGCCCACCCTCGCTTGCCATTACTTAACCGTGTCCCAGAAGTCGCTGCGACTTCTTCCACCACCTCCTCCCCACCCAGCCTTTGCCCTCAGATACTCCTCTGCAGCCTGGCTGGTGTCACGGGGATTTGGGGGTGGTTCTGCAGGCAGGGATGCTCCCAGCACAGCCCCTGGCTTGCGGCCGGAATGAGCAGGGCTGGAGTGACAGCTCTTCAGGGCTCAGCCTGGAAACACCATACCCAGCACAGTAACACCTCTGTAGGCACTACCCCTCTGGAAGCTCAATGCAAACCTCCCGCAGATCACCCCTGAGGGCTGAAGGAGAGGGAAAATCTTTTCTTTATCTTGGTGGATGTTCAGGGGGATGCTCTTTCTTCCTTTTGTAATGCGTGGCGGAGCTTGCACACTGCAGAGATGTGCTGGGGAGAGGGAAAGGAGCTCCTGGGCTGCTCTCACGTGACTTTACGTGCCACAAACAGCACCCAGCCCTGCCGCTGCTGCAGGGTCTCCAGGGTGGGTGAGATGGTGGGGTACCCCACAGGCAGGCAGCTGTCTGCAGGCAGGAGTCCTCCCACACCTGGTGATGGTTGGATTGCAGTGAGAGCACTCAAGGCGCAGCCGGCCTTTCCTACACCTACCTGAAGGTCCAAGCATTAAAAGAAGATAAAAATCTTCGCAGAGGCATGGCTCAGCACACCTGCTGAATAGCTGGGTGGATGGCATATGCCTGCCTTGTGGGCGCCTGCCCTCCCAGCCAGCGGGGCAAGGCACATCCATCACGCCGTGGGAGGAGGAGGGGGCAGCAGCAGGCAGGGAGGGAGGGTCTGCGCTCCCGAGCCGCTTTCTCCTCCGGCTTGTGTTGGAGCTGCCCATTGCCCACCCCCTGCCCATCCCTCTCCGAAATCTCTTTAGGAGACCACTTGAACTAGGAACCACTCATGGACACCTGCCTCCTTTTGCTGTCTCACTGCCATGCCCTATCTTACCACTTGAGCAGATTCGCTCGGGGTTGCTGTTGATATTAATGCTGCTTTCACACCCTGCTGCAGGTGCTTCCCTGCTTGGCAACGTGAGCACCATCCAAATAAAACTGCAGGGTGCACCAGTTTAGCTGAGCTCATCATGTCTCCTCGCCGCAGTGGAAGGACGGCCCCGCACCAACAGAAATCCCCGCTGGGGCACAGCACGCGGCTCTGCAATAGGAAGGGGGGAGCTCAAAGGAGCCGCCTGTCTCCAGCCCGGCACCGGGCACTGGAGAGCAAAACTGGCCCTGCAGTCAGTGGGATGACAGGAGGGATGAAAAGGCAGTGGCAGGATGAGAAGGAAGAGAAAAGGATGTGGGAATTTTAAAATAAAGACACTGAAAAATGACCGAAGCCACCTGGGGGTAAGCCAGCTGAGGATCTACCCCAGCATCTCTTCATCGGCCATCCCTGAAGCAGGACTTTCGCAGGAGGCCATCCCAAGCGCAGCTGGAGGGAAATACGGTGGCTGCTGAGCCAGCTCGGAGCCGGGAGCCTGCCAGTCCTTAGCAGGGCCACTATCTCTTCAAGCCCCCCCTAGCACACCCTTAGCACATCCCGAAAATCCACTCCTCAGCCTGAAGCCCCATGCCAGTGAAAGCATCTCCCATGCTGTTGCATGGTGAGGTGGGGACCAAGCTGCGGTGGGGCAGGGGCTCGTCCTGGCTGCGCAGTCCCAGCCAGGGTGGCTGCAGGGGAGATACCAGCTCTGGCTGAGCAGAATTATCCCACAATAGGATTTAGTGTTCCCTCCGCACGGGGAGGCTTTGTTTGGGCCATTACTGCAGGGTTGCTGAGCGACGGCAGAGATGTGCGACACGGTTTACATCTTATTAAAGTTATAAGGTTTCACTCAATGTAAATGCCAAACAAGTGCTGGCCTTGCATGGCCTGGCTGCAGAAAATAAATACCCCACTTGCTGGGGTGAAGATGCCTGCAGGATGGTCCTGAGGAGCCCTCGTGGAGTGCATAAGGAGCCCGTATCAGCATCCCGGTTCCTCGCCACAAAGGGAAATGAGAGGGAGATGTTTAATCAGGACCGCGGGTCTCCCATTAACCTCATGCACTCCTGACATGCAGAGGAAGGCACAGCTCCATCTCTGGCCTTAAACATATGGAGGTTAAGAGCTAAGTGGGGCAGAGGAGGAGGGTAAAGCTGAAGAGATGCTCAGGGCCTGATTCCTGCCTCTGCCAGGGGCTGGCATAGGGCAGCGGCATGGCTGACAACACAGGAGTCCCTCCGAGGAGCAGCACCTCCATGGTGGGAGCTCTTCCATGGGGGTTGCCTATCACCCCAAGACTGCTGAAGTAACCAAACCCCCAGGCATCACCCTCCAGAAAGGGTCCCCAAATCCAGCCAGCAAGGGACAGCAGGGCCAAGGCACAGCAAGTCTTTTGGCCCCAAGTAGATGCTGAGTGGGGCTTGCAAACCCGTGCATGCCTTTGAAAAGCTGCTGGCCCACTCCAGCGCCAGAGGTGCCACAGGGCACCTCCCCAGGGACAAACCTCCTCCCTGCCAGCAGCTCGGCTGGGGGGGATGGCCAGCCTGGAGCAGGGACCACCCAGCCAACAGCTCCAACCAAACCCCAGCTGAGACCATCCATTGCCTTCGCGCCAAGCCCAGTGCTCCCCATCACTCTCCCAAGCTCTGGCTGGAGGTAACTCCCTTATGGACATGTGGTCCCAGGCACTGGGTGGTTCAACGCAGTCTGGGTCCCTGCTGCGCCTCTCCCCGGCTGCCAAGCAGGGATGATGATGCTCTACAAGTGATCCAAGCTAACGTAAGAGCAAGCTATTCTTATTATCCCAATTACTACCGACATCTCAGTCACATATTATTTCAAAACACAGCGAATCACCCCACTGAAATAACAGGGCTTCCATCAACATAAAGAGCAGCCAGGCACAAGGCTCAAAAATAAGCCCCAGCTTTCCCTCAAGCAAAATAGTTGCTTGCAGAGCCATGCTCCTAACGCAAATAAATAAATATTCCCATCACCGGAAGAGACCCTTGTCATGCTTCAAACCACGGCTGTAGCTGATCTGGAGATAGCTACATTTCAGGAAGCGAGAAGAGGTCAAGAGGTTGAAAGACTTTCCAGGGGGATCTTGAAGAACTGAAATTTTCAACATTTCCCTCAAGAAATGCTAGTAAAAACCCCAAGCAGGAATTTCCCATAACCTCTGCCCCCAAAACTGCACCAAGGAGCTGAATTATTCCAGTTGTTATTGGAATTTATTATTGGGAGAATTTATTATTGTTAGTATTGGGAGAAGGGTTCAAAAACAAAACCAGAGCAGTACATTGGTACCATTTTTGTGCAGAGAGAGACTATTGCTAACTGGGAAATGAATTGCTGCTGCAGTTTCCCAGCCGGGCACCACGGGAAGATGCACGCGCCCAGCAGGATACGGTGCACAATGGGGCTCGGGTAGCGGTGGCTTAGCTATGCCCATGATTGTAGGCACATTTCATAGAAAAAACAAAGGGATTTTTATTTTTCCCATTTCTTCTTTCCCACCAAATGGTTCTTTCCTTTCCTTGCACCAAAAAAGCCAGGGGTTGCTGCTATCACACAGCATTGCTCCAAACCACAGCACGCAGAAGCACTGTTAATGGTACCCTTCCTTAACAGTGGTATGGAAAAGAGGGGTGCAAGCACTGGGAAAAGCAAATTAGACAAATGCTCTCATCCCCCCTGCCTGCGCGCATGCAGAAGGAGCAGAGGGGAGAGCCAGGCAGGGTTGCCTAAAAGCTTTGCTCTGTATCACCCCCTGCATCCTTCCCCAAAAGGCAATCGCAGCCTGGGGCATTGCTGAGCTGGGATGCACAGGTCGAGCTCTCTTTGCACTGGGCAGGCGAGGAGGAGCAGGACAAGGTGGGGGCTCAGGGCTGCCCTTTCCCTGCCCGGGCAGCCACTCGTCGCTGCTGGCCGCCTTTGTCTCGGCAGGCCCCCCCGGCCGGGGGCCGG